ATTAAATTTTTGATGCAATTTACCGGTATCGTAATATTTACTATGTAACGTTTTGATTCCTTTCATATAGTAAAATGTAAACAGTATGAAATAGAGGTGCTGTATGACAGCTCTGGAGGAATTTCATATCGGATATATTTATCTATATGTGTTACTTTGAAGAGATGGTTTAATTTTTAAAAAATTATTAACAATCTAAAAACGTATTTTATAAATATATTTTGAATAATACTGCCCGTCCGTAAGAGTCGTTAACATTTTCAAACCTCGTAGAATTAAAACGGCTGTTTAAAACCGCGTAAGCCCCGAGATCAAAGTAATTACGCATAAGTTATTATCTATCAGCAAGGAATGTATAAACTGTAATTAAAACAACAAAAACTAATTAGAAACATTACTAAAACCAAAAGTAAGTTTTATAAATAAAAGCAGAAGCAATGAAGTTATCTCCTATATACACCTGCCCCATTAATATTTTACCATCTACTTACCATCATTCACACTAAACAATTAAAGATCTGAACTCTGGAAATGCAAAAATTCAAGAAAACCCTTGCCGGTATCAGAACAACGGATTTTCCACTTGCCATCTGGACGTGCACCACGTGATAACGAAACGAGCAATGCGAAAATTCTTTACAAACTTTCCTTACATTTAATTCTGTAAGTAACATTTTTTATGCCCTCTGTTTGTTATATTGCAGCAAATTTTAATGTTGTTAAGGAAGTTGTAATTCATATTATACATTAAAAAATTGTTTTATACTTATCACTTAAAAACTCGTAAAATTCAAGCAACATTCTGTTAGATATATCGAAGTGGGAGGAACTTTTTAAGTTGTTTTGTTGATACGAATAGAGATTTGTGTATTCCGTTTTGAATAATAAGATAAAATTACCTTTGCAACAGTTGAAAGATTAAAATAAAATAATTTAAAAAATGAATACGTCGTTTCATAAATCATCCTGAAAATAAATTAGAATCATATTAGAAATAAAGAAAAGAAAACCATTTTGAAACTGATCCTTTTCTCGCATTATTTCAAAACTTCATTGCGAGGATAAATTTTTAATTAACTACTTGTTATGTTATTAAAAATAATTAAGAAATATTTCATTTCAAAAATTGTTTAATTAAATGTTTTAGTTATGATGCATACAAATGCTTAAATAGGTCTAGCTTCTAAACCTTTCGGAAAGGGGGGGATTCAGCACGTTAAATTGCATTAGTGATTGAAAGTAATAAATTTATATAGCTTTCGGAAACAAATTTCAATAAAAATTATAAATTTGTAAAATTCTTTTAAACATGATAAATATTTTCAGATGTACGCTCTTCCAATGAAATCATTCTCTGATTAAGTGATTTTAGAGTCAATGTGCTTTTTTTGTCCGAAATTATTATGCAAATTTTATGCCAAAATCTTATTTAATACCCAAATCATGGCAGGTTTTAATATGTTTGACAATTCTCCGATTATTTCACCTTCAGGTTAAAAATATATAACTCTATATTCAAGACTCACGATATATGGAAAAATGTCACTTCTTCTTATCTTACAGTAAAGCTGTATTAAACAAGTGTTGTGACCCAATAAAAGATTATATTGCATCGAAGGGATGCTAAAAAAACAGTGCAAAATTCTACTCCAAAAAATATTTAATGCGTGAATTATTATGGATCTAATGCTTTGGATGAACAGAGTGTAACATCTCATATCTCCTTTGCATACAATTCAGTAAATTTCTGTTACAAACTCTTACATGAAATATTCAGTTGTTGGAGAAAAAAGTAAACAAAAATAATTAAATTTGACCTGAAATGTATCATCGATTAATGCTGGTACGATTAATTGATTACTAACACGATTAATGATTACATGGTTGAACATAGCATGCTATGTTATTTAAAATGCTAACATGATTTGATGATTATAAAAACGTTTGATTATATTAATTAGCAATGCATCTAGTTCTTAGTTTGTGCGTTTGACCCTCAAGTTATGAATCAAATACAATGACTTATATTTATAATCCATTAGACATTAATCATACTCAGAAATCTGAGTACTTTGATTATTTTAATTAAGCTGTCCTTCCATACTTAAATTATGATAAAAATCTTCACTCTAACTAGCCCTTTGTGATCAATTTTACGTTCCCTTGGAGACGACACCACCACCATTCAGTTTTATAAATTTTGTCCATGTTTCTATCATACAGTATATGGTGACTTTATATTCAATAATTTGCTGTATGGCTGTATCAAAAAATTCTGCTAAGAAGAGAACTAATTTTAAAGGGAGCAAAAAATTAAATAAAAGTAAGTTATTTTCTATTACACATAACGCTTAACCAGATCAAAGTGTTAATAAAATAAACATATTTTAATGAATTATTTTTATATCTTACAAACCGTTATCTTAGACACATGAAAATATCATTCTGGTAAAATAAAGCGTAAGTTAAATTGATTCATTCACAGGCTTATTATTCTTATTAATATACTATATTTATTCATATTTTATATATCATTATTTTATTATTTATATTATTTATTATTATTATTTACAGTATTTATTAATGCATTATTTCAGGTAACCTGAAATAATACGGCAGTGTGTTCCACAGTTGTAATGAATTCATCAGGATCATTATACTGAATTCAAAAGTTGTAATGAATTTAGCATGCTCATTATAATGAATTCCTTACATTGCCGCATTGTTTCGGTCACCTGAAATTCAGCAAGCTCATTACACTGAATTCAGAAGGCTCATAATAATACTTATTTAAACGCATGCTGTATTATTTCGGTAACCTGAAATTCAATGGGAATTAGTCGCATTTTCGAATTTTACTTTGTATAAATGGAACGAATTCTAAAAGCATGTAACAAATAAGGACTAGAATTAATATGAAAGAATCCATTTTTCATTCTATTTTACCAAGTCATTTTATGAATAGTATTCTCCTAGGCACGTGACATGATATCCAAAATAGTTATACAGAATCTAAAAAATGCTCAGAAAATTGCATATAGTATTCTTCCTTCATATTAATTAAAAACATTAATTGCAGTAAGTATATCATAATATATTGATAAAGTTGTAATACATCTGATGCAGTTGTAATACAACATCTGATACAGTTGTAACGTATTATATCATTTAATTTATAACTATTTATAAATTTTGCATATTGCAAAACGTTGTGAGAATAGCAGTGGCTAAGAGAAAGATGAAAGCATCGCAAAAATTTAGTGACTTCACTATATACTTCAAAGAGCTTTTAGTTTTAGGCAAAAACAGATACAGAAATACAGTAATTAAAAATCAATCATTTATATATTTTTATTTACATCTTTATGTGAGAGAAAAATTACATACCGCATTATTGTAACTGGCAGCAAGTGTTATTGTGACCTTTTAAGCTGTTACCAGTTTTGCAAACATCTTTAAAATTCATCAAACGTCTTTGGTACTAAAAACAGCTTCAACATCATACTAGAAATATATTGAACCTTTTGGGGGGGTAGTTCTTAGCCCTACGACTTATCCTATCAAGTACCGTTAGTTTAAAACTGAATTTCATAACAATTTTATATTTATTAACATGTTTACTGAGCTTTATTTCGAACTTCTATCAGCCTTTAACATCTTTATTAAATTTAAATTCCTTATTACGATTTATTCGTTAGCAACAGAAGTCAAGTAATCGTATTTAGTTTGTTAGCTTCATATGTTACTAATCTAGCAAGCTGCGTATTTAAGTTACTCTTACAGTTCTGGGTATAACTGTTTTAATGACTTTACAAAACCTTTACTAATCTCAAACATACTTGGAAGGCAAATAAGAAAGCCATTCTGATCGATTTAAAAATAAATGATTAAATAAAAAAGACTTAACTAAATCTACATCTTAATAAATACCAGTGCGTGCTTTGTTTCAGTGATTAGCATTAGGCTTTACTTTTTAATCTGGTTTTAAAGTATTTACGACTTTATTTGTGATGAGGTTTTACGTTTCAAAACAAAAACAGACACAATTATACTTTTAAACGCTTATAGAACGTGAAGTTTAATACAGACATATATTACAATGAATTATATCTACTTTCTTCGGTATATAAAGCCTCAGATGACTGCAGAAATATTTAAATAAAGTTATAAACAGTACTTACTATAATTACTTCTTCCTGTCGAATTTAATGCATAGCTTCGTGTAATGAGTTCGCAACGCGATTTTCTGGTGAATCTGTGTTATCGCATCATATCAAATCTTTGACATCACCAAATAAAAAAGACAGAGAATGTTGGGATTAAAAAAATCGCCTGAATGACTTCTCCTACACGTTTGTCGAAAGGAGAAATAGTGGGGGGAAAGAAATGACTGGAAAAGTCGAAACGAGTGATAGCCGTCTTCTGCTTTAGACGGGAGAAAGCGTAAAGTGGCGTGTGTTTAGGCGGTTACCTGAGCTTTCTATCTGCCAGACAACAAACAACCCCACAGCATGCCGATGTACTCCACATAGCGACGCCGCTACCATCCGTTCACGACGCCGTCACCGCTTCGACGTCGAAGTCGGAGTCTACGGATGGGGATTCCGAAGAGCTCGTTCTCGACTGCAAATTCAAGTGCTTTTTCTCATAAAAACCTATTTGCTAGGTATCTCATATCTCCGAGAAGATACCAGTGTTTTTCTCTTACCGCTAAAACTCCAGACTCATACTCGATAAAACACGTGCACTCATTTTTTCCCTCCCAAATAGTTTTCGTATCCCGCTCAGGATTTATAATAACCCTGAAAAATATAGTAACAGAAATTTTTAAATTCTAGTCATCAAGACACATAACATCCTGGATCATTTGTCTTCAATTTTAACAACGATATCTACGGAAATTGAGTTCTCGTTAAACTGAACCTTTTTAGTCCGCGAAAAAAAATAATCTTAAAATACATTTACGTTCTTTTTTTAAATACTTAAATGTCAATGCTCACCATGTTATATCTTTAAATATTAATCCCATGTGCGTCTTCAATTCTCACAAAAATTCCCCATGTGTTTGAAAAGCCAGGCTCTCACATATTTTCAGTATTTAAGCATAAATATGGGAGTTTATTCCACAGAAATCTTTGGAAGAATTTTCAGTCATATACTGTGTTTATTTGATCTTCTTTATCATAAGTATTACAGAAAGCTAGTGTTAAACAGCGAACATAGATGAACTTAAACGAGTTCTATTTTTGAAAGGAACCCTTTGACGTGCTGACGTCACCAGAGAATGACGTCACCTAGATAGGTGACGTGCACATTTGGCAAATGTGCAACAGATTTCAGCCAGAATACTAGAGCGAAGAAATGCAGCGGAAACATCGTTTGGGACGAACCACGCTTTCAACAAACGTCAAAATGTAGAAGCTCCTTTCCGAACCTAGACAGGGATAATGTCACACCGTAGGAAGGGTTTTTAACCTGGATTGACATTTTTGTGAAGTTAGGCGCTTTTGCTGAAAAATAAAAACGCTTTGAAACGAGATGCTATCTCTAAAGAAAGGGAACACGAAGCTAGATAGAATATTTACATTTCATCTGCGTTTATCTGTAAGACGATCTGTTTAATTAAGCTACACTTCCATCAAAAAAAATCATTGTCCTTTCTTTTTTAAAATGCTGTTAATTAGTAAAAGGATCTTAATTTACTGTTATATTTAAAAAGAAAAGAGAAAGAGAGAAGGAAAAAAGAAGAATGCATAACTTTGATGGCTATAAATTTAGTACTCTTCAATCTACTTATAGAAGTAGGTTACTTATACATGTAGATTTTTCCATTAATATAGATCGGTATTAAAGTTGCACAAGTCAAATTTTCAAAAATTGTGGAAATTCCAAAATGGATTTGACTGGTAAATTGTTTCCATGCACGTTACCGGTATACTATTTATCACAGAAGTGATAAATCACTCGAAATTTCAGTTGCAGCTTGTGTTTTAGCTTTAAAGAAACCACTCGTTTGACGAAAGAAGGAAATGAATTTTCCCAGGTAGAATTATTTGATTGAGCATTACTTCAAAACGTATAATTTTGATAGCGATGCCCTCTTTCTTAGTGACTGCATTCCTATCTTCGTCCATTTTGTCGGAGCTCAGAAGAGACGAACGAGCGTTTCGTTTCTTGTGGTGAATGCTTCCGTTTCCTTGAAATTAGCTTAGCAAAAGTAAAATCATTGTTTCCTTAGGTTCACGAGCATTTAGAAAGGGCTCTTTAAAAGGGTTTAACAGTTCTTCTACAAGACAATACTTTGAAGTAATGCTCAGTCCTAAAAATTCGTTCTGCCTGGAAAAAATCTCATTTCTGTCTTTGCACAAATAAATAAATAAATAAATGGCTTTTAAAGCTAACAGCACAAACTGCAACTAAAATTTCAAGTCATACACTACTCTTAACAGTACATGAATGGATTTTGGCATCACCCTGAGTATTCTTTCCATTAATGCATTAATCAAATGGCTAAATTTGTGCAAACTTTCTACAGTTATTTTCGACTAGCCGGCCCTTGTTTTAAAAAACGTTAAGTTTGTTAATTGCGAAATGACGGAAAAATTTCTGTTACAAGTCTCAGTGTGAAACAAAACTGTTTTCAAATATGAAAAGGAAAATAGGTGACATATCAGCAGTGACAAGAAATGGTGTCATAGCATTTGGGAGTTGTTTTTGTACACAACAATAGGTAATTTAAGTGTTCGTAATCCAAAATGTGTAAATTTTGTACAATGAAAATAAAATATTCAAACCCACTTCTACCCATGAATCGGAATTCAATGACATTTTCTAAAGTTCTTTATAAGTGTTGCAATTTAAGACAATTTTTATAGTTTCTTCATTTCTAATGATTTTTATTCTTCTGTAATTTACAATGTGTTTGCTTTGTTTTGAATACAGTTTAATTAACAAAACTAGAAGTTGTTTCCCAGATTAACTGCTTAAAAATGCAGCAAATTCTTAATTTAGGTCATTCCTCTTTCCTGTGTATCCTGTGCCTTTTAAAACTACCCTCGGATTACCCGTCATTTTTAGTTAACTATGAATGTCATTCCCGATATTACCCGGGTAATTTATACCTGGCAAATTTATGCTCCTGCAGAAGAGGGAGTGTTTGATCGCCATCGAAATCAGTAGTGTTTTATGTAAAATCTAATCCAAGCGAAGCATAATCTAAAATTATTGCTTACTTTTTTAAACCTAATTTAAAATTTTATATTGGCGTGTGTTTCTTTCGAATTAATTCTGTTAAAATTTTTCTGAAGTATTCCTGCATTTCATTTTGTAAAATATCAATTTAAGATTCCTCTAAAATATTAAGTTGAAATTTAAAACATCAGAAAGTAAATTTTCTATTTTATTTTTATATCAGTGCTACCTTAAAGCTGTAAAGGAGAAAATTACACGGATATTTTTTTAAATTTTCGGAACCTGGCACTAAAAGTGTGGGGAAGAAATACGGTAACAACAGAAATAAAAAATTTTAGTTCATTAATTATTCTAAATATTTAAAACATTTTATTTTAAATATCTACGTCTTATGGTATTAAAAATTTCTTCATAATTTTGGATAAATTTTCATTTTATTTGCACAGATTCTATGTTTATTACTTTTATTTGTTTACTAACATTTGGTATGAGAACTTTTCTATAACTAGGTCCATGAAAAATTTTCTGAAGAAATTTAGTTTGTATCTGCACAGTTCATAAGAAACCTTCTTTAAAAAAAAAGACACCTTACAGTTTATTCATGCCATTAGGAAAACGCATTTCGGAATGAAATTATCTGCATTACTCGCTTACAAATATTTCTCCCGTCTTCGGGTTTGAACACTGGTAGTGGGATCTGAGGTTCGAATCCCGAAAACGGGCTTACTGCATAGGCATTTTCATGGTTTTTCCCCATGTGTGACCCTTAGAAAGGCCTCCACGAAGGCATCCCTCCCCCTAGGCAGATAGCCCTCGAGGCTTTGTCGTAATCGCACAAACCAAACCAAACGAAAAAATTTTTCAGGTTAAGCTATTTGAATTTGGTAAAGCCATGAGAACCGTCTGCCTAAGAGGAGGGATGCGTTCATGGAGGACTTTTTAAAGGAAATTGGCTCGTATTCATATTATACATAAAAAACCACAAAAATCAACCATGCAGCCGCCTCCTGTATTCGAATCTAAGCCTAGACGAACTACTAATATTCGGCTAATCTTAACCCACTCTGTCGTTGGTGGGTCCGTTTTTTTTTTTTTTTTTTTTTTTTTTTTTTTTTTTTTTTTTTTGTGTGTGTGTGTGTGTGTGTGTGTATTTATGGTGTCGTTTGAAATTAATTACAAATATTAGCCATTTAGTAGTTATAAAAATTAATTTCGTTATTACTAAGCATTTCTAAAAATTTAACTATACATAAATTGGACAAATTTTCATTTTCGGTAACGGTGGAAATGAAATTTCGCCTTTTTAAATAGTAAAATCTATTTCACAAAAATTGTTATACAAGCTGCTTTTAGGTTACCAGCATCAAAGATACTAAACAATCATTCATGTCGGAAGAAGCTGCAGTTTTTGTAGAAGCTTTAGCGTTAGCTTACAAAAAACTGGGAGAAATAAATGCTTTTCCTGTATATCGTAAATAAAAAATTCGATACTTATCAAAAATTTCATTTCAAGAGAAAACTCGAGACAACTGAATACGCGATATATCGAGTTTATCGTATCTGAAAAGAATAAAACTTCAAGCAAAGAAAGAGTCGTTAAGAAAAATTCACAACGCTATCAGCAAGCATTTCTAACATTTCAGCTGTAGCTAAAAAATTTTAGTTTTTTCATTTTTATCTTCAGATGCATTCTAGTCATCGGTTTAAACTTCGTTTATCACTTCACACAGTTTACACTTTACAGTTTATCACTTCGGAATGCGTCCGAATGCTCAGTAATGCACTAATCAGTAATGTGAATAATGGGTCCGAACCGGGAACGAGTAAACAGTATTCAGCGGTCTTATCTACTCGAGAGAGAAATATGGAAAAACTGACCACTGGAAAGCAGGCGTTTAGGTTATTTGTATATGGCAAAACACGCAAGGCTTGTCTGCCTGAGAAATACTTTCATGGAGAACTTTCTAAGAGAAACTGGCTCGTATTCACGTCGTAACACATGGGCAAAACCACGAAGATTAGCCGTGCAGCCAGTCGGTTCTCCTGGACATAAGCTCAAGTCGAACTACCAGTATTCAACCGTCTTAACAACTCGGCCACTCGAAAAGCGAGTGACACTTATATCTCGAACGGAAGGTTGTCTTATGTCCAAGTTAAAACGAATTAAAAATCTATATTTTGAAAATGAGACTATTTTTGCACTTAACACTTTTTATTTCATTAAAACATGTGAGCCGACCCGCGAACGAGGAGTAAATTCGCAGAACACTGGTAGTTCGGTCCGGGGATCGAATCTTGTTAAACGAGCTGGCTATGTGAGCGTTTTCGTGGTTTCCCCATGTGTAACATGTATACCAGTCGGTTTTCCTTAGAAAGCCTTCCACGAAGGCATCCCTCCCCTTAGGCAGATAGCCCTCGAGTACTTTGCTATAATTAAATAAACCAAACCAAAAGAAAATGCGTGAGGGAAGGATGTTTAGTAACTTCAAATGAAAATACGTGTTGGATTATTCGACTCCGGAATTACCTATTATATTTTGGTTATTCAACTCAAAAGCTGTTAAATCTGTGTAAACCTAAGCTAACAATCTGATTTTTAAATGAAGTGTGTTAAAAAGAATTTGTGTTGGAATTAGTGTTTAGAATTTGTGTGTTTAAAGTGTGTCTCTTATTTCCGAATGAATCTTCATTCGTTGTTTTGTTTGAACGACTAAATAACAGAGTAGAAGTTTTGACTGTAAATAGTTGCTCTTGTAGCTTAAAAACAAAGATAAAATTATCAATACCCTTATGAGACAGAACTCGAAAATACTATCATTCACTATTAACAGCGCATTCACTATTAACTATTACATTAATTCATTATAAAATATTTTGTTAGTTATTATGTTATTATATGTGAAACGTATATACTCAGCCTTTAAAATAGCTATCAGTTGACAAAGAACATTTGTATAAAAATAAGCTGAAATACTG